CGACAAATTTCTATTCTACTGCCAGTCGACACTCGCAATAGGGGCCAATAACACGTTAATGGGTAGATTATCGATGGCAATCGAACTTCAGTTGCGTTGCTAGTTGCCAAAACGATATTACAGATGGCAACTGGCAACTTTCAACTGACAACTGCTGTTGCTACATAATGTGTATACAGGCGACTACATTTTAGTGGCTGGGAATGTTTTTGGAGCGTATTTAGGAGCGAAAATTGAAAAGTGTGTCATATATATAATAATTTGAACGATATTAACATTTTGCAATGCAGTTTGCTTTTACAGAATATGGTGAAAATAACAAACCAATATCTTGCAATTTTAGTTCCCGTGGACAACACCCTTTTGGCGAAACAAAAGCGAACACTGATTGCAATTTTTTCCTTTATCAATTGAAGCACCTCTTTTAAAACTACCGACACACCCAGTTTTCCAAATTAAAGTCATTGCTGTGGCACTTCTTTCTGCGAAAAATCGAAGATGTGCGCAAGCTTTTATGAGCGGAGGTATTGAAGTTGAACGAAGTGGTTCATCTGTTTATTAACCAATTATACTACAGCTTCTTTTGGAAGTCCTCAATATGCTTTGAAAATGAACACAAAACGATAACAAAAGAAACCATTAACTTTTGCTTACAGTACACGCGGTAGCTCTAGAGGATTGGAATTATCCTTTAAGTGTCGCCTGATTGAGGACGCGTTCATGCATTTCTCTTCCTCCTAAACAAATAATTGTGATAAATTTAGCTTTATTTCTCTTTTATTTAAAACTCTTTATTTTAATAATTTAATTTTACTCGCACAGCTTGTTTGCAGCTGCTTGCTGGTTGTTGGAACTGTCAAATTTTGATTATCGATAACTCTACAGCAACTGACGATAGTTGCCATTCGTAATACAAATTTTCTTTCCAGTTGCATTGCCAGCTGACAACCGAAGCGTGGTTGTGTTGCCATCCGTAATCGACCCATAAGTTTTATTAATATAGTGAAGCGAATCTTAAATATATCATACATGCGGTGCTAAAATTTTTCACTACATTGAATTTCTGTACAACACCCTAATTGCCGAAAAAGCTTTGTCTGCAACCCTAAGTCCTTTATGGGGGCCAAATTTGGCGAAAAAACAGCTGTTTGTTTACTGGATATACTGAGGTCTTTACTTTTGAAGCATCGTCAGTAAAATGGTTGACGATGCAAATCGAACGAAAGCGACACAAAACGATGGCAATAACGGTGACGAGCATACCACAGTAACGCCATTTGACGACAGTGCTGCCAAAGAAGATGAACGGAATACCAAGGTTACCGTATCGTTGGTTTTACTGACGATGACGATATCTAGCATAAGGCCGAATATAAAAATGTTTAGCACTTTCAATGTAATTTCCATTTTGTTATCACTTTCTTAAATTAAATTCGGCTTTGGTACTCCCAACGATTAAAAAATAGCAGTAGGATTAGCAATCAAAAACTGTTGTTGTTGTTGTAACAGCATACAAATTCCCCAAAGAGTTTTCGGGGAGTGTAGCTGGAGTGACAGTCCTTGGCCAGATATAAATCTGGGTCGTTTCGGTTACGTATACCCGCCTGTCGTGGGAACGCAATCAAAAACTATTGACAGTCGCTAGCTGAGCGAGTAATAGACACTCGCAATATCACCGGTAATCGATGATCGAATAATATAGACACTTCTGAGTACAAAACCTGAATTAAACACATTGACAAAGCGCATATGTATTGGTATACCATCCACAATATACTTATTTAAACTTTTAAAGCATTATGTAGTGAACAATAGAGAATGTTAATTACAGTTCTTTACTTACTTAACAAATCGTTTAACCAAAAAAGCGAAAATTTGGTTGAATGAAAAGATAAGTTTGTTTAGGGACAAATTTTATTTAGCACGAATTAATGTGGAATTAATTTGTAGGACGAGTTAACATGGTATAAATTTATCGATACCCTTATATCCAAGTAAGAGAATCGCAAAAATATTTTATATGGAAAACATTTATTCTACTGAATATACCTCCGGTTAAAAACATATAGTAACTTAGCAATCGGCATAAGGCAACCCTGCATTATCATTTGTGTGTTTCACCTGACATTCTACTGTTGCTGGTTGGTTGTGCTCTATCTTCCTTCTTCGTTCGCAATCTTTCGTCGTCAATCTCGTTGTATACATTGGTAACCGAGCTCCACGCGTTTTTTGATGTAACCTATATCGTATTTACTTTGATTAATAAATAGTTAGTTTAAATCTACAAACTCTGTTTTAATCCGAACATCAGCCGCTATAACATAAGTATATAGTCGATTCCCGCTTTGCAGTAAAAATACCTCAACATGTTTTATAGTTTGTGTTCAACCAACCCATTTTTATTAAATACGAATTGCCACATGTATGATGTAACACATTTAAAATAGCACAGCTATTAACTAATTTACAAACAGGAAAAAGTGTAAACAAAAAATAAAATAAATATCTTATAGTACGTAAGCAATTATACTTATCAACAATAAGTAAATTAAAAGTAAACGACGTTGCCAGTTGTAATTCTCATGACTTAACACCTGCATTCAATACAGAACTGTCCATTTGCGGTGGCTTTGACGACGATGACAAGGCTGCTAATTCCGACTCGCTGACGACACTGTGCTCAGCTACAGTCGGCAAGGTTTGGATTACTGATGACTCCACACCAAAAAAACTATTGAGTGCATTATTTTGAGATACTGGCATATCGAAATTTTGCTCTGCACTAATCTCAACATACGTTGATTTAACTTCTTCTTGAGGTATTGAAGAATCAAATGCCTCACATGTTTGCGTTATTTGTGGCCAATTTTTTAAATATTGCAAATCATATTCTACATGCATGTATTTTCGATTTGACTTTTTCATATTCGCTTCACGACGCACTTGAACCTTTCTAAACAGTAAATATTCGATGACGAAACTCTCCACAAAAGCATGTAAAGTAAAATTCGCAACTCCATATAGCAGCATCCAGTAGCGAAAGTCCATATTTTCAGGTACGATTAATTGGAAGAAATCGGCAATCCATTTTGTAGGGAATAATACTAGATAGCCGACGATGAAAAGGTTAACAATCAACGAAAGGCAAAACGGTATATTAGACCAGATCGGCTTGCGATAGGGAGCTCCCTTCGAAAATATAAATGCAAGTGTAATATACTGGAAGCTCGATATCGCAAACATAGTGTAGTTTTCATAGCACCCTAAGTGATCTTCGTCACTGTGTTGAAAAGAAACAAACCACTCTTGTTGGTGCAATTGGAACCATCCTGTAAAATAAGAAAATATATGACTAATCTTATATATTACAGATATGTATTTAAGCAATAGAAGTACTCGTATTTAAACAGTTGTGAGGAAAACCTAGTAGACAAAACAAGACTTGTCTTAAACTTGCATATATTCCCAATGTGCGGACCAAGACGAAAGTGAAACCCAGCGACTTCCGTAACAAACTATTGGACCCGTACATCAGTCAAAAGCTACATCAAATTGTGACTAGCGTTGAAAACGCTTTCACCTACAAGGCACTTGCTAAGAGTTTTGTCGATACTCAACAACGGTGTCCTACAAGTAAGAATTCCAAACCTTTTCAGGTAAGAAAGCTATATATATGTGCAGTTTATGGTAATCAATAGTTTGCTGATGTGCTTAGTCTGAAAAAGATTTCACCCCAAGAATTCCATCGAGGAACTAATGCATACTCGCACTCTGCTATAACATGTACCAACAGGCCAAACCAAGGAGTGGGATTGCAGACGATAGTGGCGTATTTCAAGCTGAAATACGAACTATGAAGGAGACCCGAGGTGGCTGATTAGCGTAACAGTCGTGAACGAGCAACTCGTCACGTAAAAATGCAAATTTCGAATTATAGCAGTCGCGAACGTACATATCGTTGGTGTTGTTGATGTTGTAGCGGCGTACTGCTCGTTTCGTAATTCGGTTTACGAGAAGCGCAGTACGCCCCGTGGTTCGGATAGTAGATCTAGCTGGACGAAAGTCAACATTTTATTTGTTTTTAAACTACTTAATGGTACTTGGAATACATTCCCGACAATACATTCAAATAGAAATTGCATTTATAAAAGCAATAAGCATATGGAAACAAAAAAATAAAGGGTAAGTCAACACCGCCTATTTGAGAACTCTATTTTAAAAACTGAAATTTAACTTAAAATATTGCTAATCGCACTCACAAATAGTTGCATAATTGCAAATTGACTTTATAAACCAAAAATTACACTTATTTCGCTATAGATTCAGAGGTCATAACGCAATTTATGTCCGCATTGGTATAAGTAAATTTATACTGAAAATTCTTCGTTTTGATTATTCAAAAAAATAAATTCAAGAGTAGAAAAAGTAAAGGCCGCCGAAGGACGTTATAAAACCACTTGCATATTATTCTTTACACCTTCGGAAATGCAGAGGTTAACCAATTGGCTTAGATATTTACATTTTGGTGACGTTATGTCAAATCTCAAGAAGTAATCTTCAAAAGTAATTATTAACAGGAATTTACACTATTATAAACTTTATATGACAACTATATAAGAGTTTTTAGGGTCGGTAAATATAAACATAAGATCAGTGGCGGATCCACGGGGGAGGAGGACGGGGTGTTTAGGTGCTAAAACCCTCCCTTAAATCGAAGAATAATAGTTCAGTGGGTTTAAAAAAGGATTCTTGGGAAAAAGGATGCGAAATTTTCAAATAACTACATCAAAGTTGGTTTTATAAAACATGTCGATAATTTTAAACACATTCAATTTTTCTGTTTTTACTTATAACTCAATAAAACGAAGATTTTTAAAATTTGTCTTAGTTTTTCGAAAAATTCTTCTAGAACTTCGTCAACGACAAAATTTATTAATATTTATTTTTTATTTATCTGTATATGTATATTAACTTACTTCGGCCTCTGTTTCAATATTCTTCCACTTTTTAAAATCAAGCTCAAGGCCAAGGATTTTCCAGTTTTTAAGTTATTTTATTAAATTATTTTATTCGATATTTCGCCTTTCATCGAAAAGCATCCTCAGGAATACGTATCTACAAAACCAAAAACTACATGTATACATTCATACATACAAAACATAAACAAACGACTTACAATTTGTCAAATAACAAAAAACATGTAATCTTATTACTAAATACTGCCGCGACCGTCTTCTTCATCTTCACAAGCTGCACTGATTTCTGCATTACTTCTTCATACGTTTTTTTCCCATTAGAAGTCGATAGCTTTGAGCGAGTCCATCGGTGTCTGTTTTGTGGTTTATTCTTTTTTCTGATGTTGTTTTCATAATATGGAGCATCTCGAGAGTCATTCGCTTGTGATAATTGTCCTCTCTCTGTAACACACGCACATTATCAAGATCAGCTTGGTGTTGTTCTCTCGCACAGTGGGAGGTTAGTGCAGTTTTTTTGCGAATTGTTGCATCTGTTTTTTTAAATCTGATTTATGGCCGGCGATTCTAGTTTTTAATTTTCCTTTTGTGGTCCCAATATAATACATTCCACAGGGGTTGGTCTGATTTCCTTTACATTCTATTTGATAAATTAGATTTGATTTCTCCATTTTGTCTGTTTTAGACTTTAGTTTGGTAAATAGTGATTGTAATGCGTTATTTGGTTTGTGAGCTATTTTGTGGTTAATGTTATCAATACAATTTGCTTTTTCTAATCTTTCAGACAGACCTGGAACGTATATCAAGGACTTAAATATTGCAGATTCAGTTTTCTCAAATTGCGGATTTTGTTTGTTTTTATCCATTAATTTTTTTATAGTCTTTCTTGGGAAGCTATTTTGATATAAAATGTGTCTAATTTTGTTGTAGTTTTTTTCGTGGAAGCTGTGGTGGCTGATGTTTATAACTCTATCGATGAAATTTTGTGCTGTATTTATTTTGACTCTTTTGGGATGTTGTGAGTAGAAATTTACTAGCCGTCCTGACGATGTCGGTTTTTGATACCAATCCAGAATTATTTTATTAGCCTTCCTAATAATAAGGGTGTCAAGGTATGGGAGTCTGCCATTGTTCTCTTTTTCCATCGTAAATTTAATGCTAGGATGGAAGCTGTTCAGCGCTGTCAATATATTTTCCACATGACTTATCTTACAAATCCCAAAGAGGTCGTCCACATACTTTGTCAATATCTTGATCCTAATATCACTGTTTTGTACACATTTTTTTAACAATTCTTCCATTACAATATCTGCCACAATCGGTGATGCCGGAGAACCCATAGGCAAACCCTTTTTCTGTTGATAGGTTTTGTCCTTGTATTGAAAATATCTACTATCTTGTATACAAAAACGTAAGATTTTAATAAATAACTCCTTTTTGATTTTGGTGAACTCTTGTATCTCGTCCCATTTTTCCTGAATTATGTTCACAGCGAGGTCCACTGGTACACTTGGAAATAGTGATACCACATCAAAAGAAACCATTATCTCATCCGATTCTATTGTAGTATTAGTAATTCTATCCTTAAATTCCCTGGCATTTTTCACGTTATATATCGAATTTTCGGTCAGTCTCGTTAAGATATTGGAGATATATTTGCAAAGTTTCGAAGATGGAGCATTAACTGAGGAACAAATTGGTCTAAGGGGGTAATTTTCTTTATGTATTTTTGGCAGCCCGTAAATTCTAGGCGCCGTTGATACTTCCGTTTTCATTCTTTACTTCTCAAAATCATTGATAATATTTTCGGCGTATAATTTTTCAACTAATTCATTATTAATCCTTTGTAATCTAGATGTGGGATCCTTGCTTATCCTTTGATACACCATAATGTCGTTGATTGTCGTACTCATCTTTTTCTCGTAATCTGACCTTTCCATAGCCACTGTCACGTTGCCCTTGTCTGCTTCTAAGATTATGATGTTCTCATTCTCACTCAGAAATTTTCTAGTTCTTTCCATTATCTGGGGCGTGTATTTTTCCCTGTGTGTCAAGCGATGTTTATTCATATGGTTTTCTAATATGAAAGTAAATTTGTTCCTGGCTATCTCTTGTTCTTCTCTTCCCGGTATGGTTTTAATGCATTCCTCTCCGTCGGTGATATATTTTAGTAGCGGTAGGTCTCCTTTTTCATGTGGTAATCCAAATTTCTTGCCATGCGATAGTAGCCATTGTATTTCGTCTGGTATTGGTATATTTGTCTTGTTGCAAAACCAATCCGGGTTGTTCCTTATATCCAGCTTCCTCAGTTGTTCATCTTTCAGAGTGTTGAATTTCCTTATATGTTTTTCTTTTACCTCCGCTTGAACTTTCTTGTATATAATATTCTCACTGTTCAGCCACTGTGTTTCCTCCTTTAATAAAATAACTTAAAAACTGGAAAATCCTTGGCCTTGAGCTTGAAAAGTGGAAGAATTTTTTATTTATCTTTGTGAATATTCATAGAGCCTAGACGCCGTTAAGCCTTTCTTGACCTGGGGTATTTCTCAAGTAGGTCTTAATCCTTTTCAGGGAAAAACTTACTTCAGGTGAAGCTATTGAAACGGGCAAAAGTGCAAATATCCGTAAGATCTTAAAAACATTCCCAAAAGACGTTGTATTCACTATTTGTTTCCACATTTTTACCTCCACAAGAAAGTTTTGTTTCGAACAGTCGATTAAAAGTTACAAAGAAACTGGACTATTAAAAATATAGTACCACGTTGACTGAGCTTTACTCGGAGCGCAAATATATGTACTAAAGTCCAGCGCAAGTGTATTTGCCGCATTTCGTTCAAAAGTACTACTTGCATTGTACTCTACTCCCAACACATTCAGCCCTATTCTGCATTTCGACTCGGATCGAAATTTTCTCCGTTTGGCAATTTTGGTATTCTGCGTTCCGTTTCCTTTCGATCAATCTTCGAAATTTACGATTATACCTATTCTACATTTCGATCGTAGTTCCGTTTTTCAAAGTTGCAAATTTGTTGACGGAGAACGTTTCAATTGTTATTTTCGTGGGTTTAAATAATAAAATTTTATAAAAAATTTAAGTAAAATATACTGTGCATGATTGTAAAAGTCATCATAAATGAGTTTTCTCGATTTCTGTGTTTTTGCGAGCGGTAATACGGGCAATACGAAAAATTGGCTCAAATAATGGCAACCAAAAGGGATATTGCGCGACGTCTTCAAAGTGGAAGTCCAGGCGTTTTTGTTTACATTATCTATAAATAATACTGTGAAATGCACTGAATACAATTTATTCTTTTTATATAAAATTAATAGATGTATGCACATAGATACATACATAC